CCGCGGCGACACAAGCCACACGGGTGCCTGCGCCCAGGGGAGGGCCGGGCTCCGGGGCACGCGCGTATCGGTGCAAGACTTGCCCCTCGCACCACGTCACGGGATAATTTTACTCAAATGAGGGACAATCCCCCCCCACCCCCATGCGAAGGAAAAGCCGCTCTACGCCCGTTCCAGCACACTCCTTGGAGAGAAGCTCAAGCCCACACCGTCGCTCGAGCAAAATCCTTGAAGTTTTGCTGACGTTTCTAGAGAGTTCGAGACGTTATGAGGAAAAACTCACATTTTTTTTGAGACATTCAACCTTCCCCGACATCGTTACTTACTTCACCAGCGAAGCAGCTTCAGGGAGCACTTCTGCAAACGTATCACGAAAGACGATGGCGTTTTTTCTCTTGCAGTTCTGTATGACGTCATTGGCCAAGTAGAAAAGGTTCAGGCGATGAGGAAACGCAGCTAGAGACAAAAAAGAAAACGCAGAAACATCATCAAGTAGCAGCAGTCACGTCAGCATTTCAGGGCTTGCTTTTGGGGTGGGTTTTTTTCCCCCCCCAGCATTTCCATCAACGGCGCATCCAAGGGCAAGGCCAACGGTCCCCACCGGGGACTAGAGAGGAAATCTCCAATCTCCAAATCATTCCCAGACCTTCCCCAAACCTGTGGTCAAGCCTCGACTCTGGCTTGGGCTCGGAAAGGACACAAAAAGCTGCTGCCCCTGCGCTACTTCTGCGAGGAACCGCCCAGCCAGGAAGGCCAGCATCGCCTGCGGCGGGAGGGCAAACGCAACGCGGCACAAACCTCTGCAGGGGAAAAAAACCCAACGGCTCCAGAGCTGACGGGCCTGGTCTCCGAAGCTCCAGCAAGACCCCCTTTGGCTACTGATGCAGCGCAACCTCCTGCTCAACAACTTAGAGGCCACTTATTCACGTGTTCTAAGCATCGCCACGTATAAATCTCCCTTTTTTTACGCTGTAAGGACTTAAAATGGTCTCTAAGACGCGCAGCTTTGCCAGGGAGGTTTCACCAGGCACGTACCTACGTCCGTAGCTGTCCACAGGGCCCTTACTACAGACAGGGAGAGCCCTTCTCCACAGCCCCTTAAACGCCTCCTGTTAATAAATCAACGTTCATTAACGTGTTTAATAAGCGCTGCCTGTTCCTCGGACGTGCGCGGTGCACAAAGGACCCGGGATCCCCGGCCCTTCTCCTCCCGAGATCCAAGTTCTCCCAAAAACCACTTCCCTTGTCCCTGCTGAGCTGGCTCGGACCTTTGCACCCAGCCCCCCCACCCGCGGCCACTCCAGACGCGCCTCTGCTCTTCCTCGTATTCGGCTCCGAATTGAATCATTTCATCAAACCTTTCCTGCAGTCGGCCAGTAAGCAGCGCCCTAAGCTCATCCACGGGCTAATTAGCGTCTTCATTTAATTTAACGACACAACACGAGGATTTAAATATAGGAAGGGTGACAACAGACCGCCCTGCTTCACGTGCCCGTGAGGCCTCTCAGGCTCCCACCTCCGCTGCCTTACACCCCCCGCCGGCTGTACCCCACCCGCATCAGCAATCGGAGTTTTTATCTACAAATCCTTGAATTCTCCATCCCGCTTCGTTTTCCAGTTGTCCCGACCTCGGCACAGCCTCTTCCCACGGCGCGGCTGC